ATGAGCTTCAAGTGGAGCTAAGTTTCAAATTATCATTGCACATTGAGAAATATTTTCTTGTACTTTACACAGGCATGGACATATACACACAAACACACTCACACAAACTACGTACAAATGGACTGATACCAGGAAGCGTATTTGAAAAAGTATTTTGAAGAACCAATGACATTTCCCCTCAGAAATCGTGTTGTTATTTTTCCAGTACAAAAGGTTACTAATCTTATATTTCACACTATTTCAAATAATGCTTTTTCTGGGACCATCCTTTTCTAATTTTCCTTTCTAAACACCAGAAACATAAACTTCTGGGCCACTAACCCCAGAAGACCATCCATCACCATAACCCGTAACAACCATGCTGTTTTCAAATGTATACATGCCATCAGCCAGCAGTATGAAAACCAGTGACATCCAATTAAAATAATCATGTAGAGGTTAAGGAGCTATGTTTATATTTTCAAAATGATAAATAAGTATCATGGTTTTATTCTGAATTTTCAAATCCTGAACACTCATTAGTTTTTTAATGTTATCAAAATGAATAGCATGTACATTGGTAACAAAAACTGGAAGGCATACTGAAACCAGAAAGTACTGATCTCAAAGTATATGTTATTAAGGATGCCAACCCAAGTTGCATTTGATGCATTCATTTTTGTTTCTGGTTGTCAGCATTGCTATAGTAACTGAGAAATATACTTTATATTAATCATTTTTTTCAAGAAGTCACAATTGTTGGAATTAGAAAACTCCTCCCAATTTAGTCATTCACTGGGAGGAAAGCAGCAATTACACTCTTGAAACTGATATTCAGAATGTTGGTAAAAGATATGTTCTTTTTTTCCTAAAGGTGACCTGATTTTTGATAAATTTGTTTTCTTGACAAGTAATCACTCTTTAGTCAATAGTCCTTTGCCTTAGTCAGCTGGGCTGCTGTAACAAAATACTACAGACTGGGTGGTTTAAACAACAGAAATTTATTTCTCACAGTTCTGGAGGCTGAGAAGTCTAAAATCAAGGTACTAGCAGATTCAGGTCCAGGTGAGAACCCTCTTCCCAGTTTGCAGATGACTATCTTCTACTGCGTCCTCATATGGCAGAGAAAGAGACAGAGGCAGAGAAGCAGAGGCAGACAGAGGCCTCTGGTCTCTCCTCATCTTCTTATAAGGACGCTAATCCCATCATGGGTGTCCCACCCTCTAAACCTAACATTGGACTTAGGGCTTCAAAGTATGAATTGGCAGAGTGAGGAGAGAGGACACAAACATTCAGTCCATAACAGTCTCTAATTGGACAATGTGCATATGAATTTTTTCTACATGGTGCTTTTGCATGTTTTGAACTGGAACATCTTGGAAAAGTCAAACATTCTCCAGTTTATCCCAGTCCCTGCCACTCCTTACTGTCACTCCTTACTAGATACTCAATGATGTTGTCTACCAAGCCTCTGTAGATACTTGAATAATAATTGACTCTTGATATAAGCCATTTAACTTCTCAAAATTTAGCAAGATTTTGGTATTAATATGCTCTTTTGATTCTCTCTTATAGGATGGAGAACCTAATAAGGGGAAGGCATCCCCCACAATATCAGAGAAGTCCTTGTAAAGAAGTTCGTGCAGCACTTCGGAAGAGGCCTGAAGAAGAGTGTAAGTATGATTAATAGGATTATCTGTGTCCTAGATAGATTTTGGTGAGTAGCATTGTAAAAGTACAGGCTAATCTTTAAGAAATTAATCAAATAATAGAGGTACTTAATATTTATTGAATCAAATTGACTTGATTTTAAAAAATGTATTACCACATGTTACCTGGATTAAGACAACATTAAGAGCCTTATTTAGATGCTCTACTGATAATTGGTTTCCTTGTTCAGATGAGATTGGAAAAGTGTGCACAATCTAACACATCTTTCTCAGATATTTATTTCGTGAACATGACTATTTTTGAGGCATCCAGAAGTTAAAGCATTTTTTTTAAATGTGTTTAAAATCAACATTTTTCAGTTTCCTTTGACAACAATGCTCTTTCAATATATATTTTTTTAAACTGAGGACTCTTTGAAAACCACTACATTAGACTAAAGAATAAATATCTAATGGTAAATATAAATTCACTAGACAAACAGAAACATTTGTTTTAATCCCATTTTGGAAAATATTTTTGAAAATGGAAGGTATGTATCTCACCATAAACTCATTGTACTCCATCTTCATATTACTGAATATTAGAATATATAATTGTGTGTAGATATTTTTAAAAACATTTCTACTCTGTAGCATTGTTGGAAACGTTTGACACAATATTTGCATTTTAAGTTTCTAAGAAGTCCCATCATGCCAACTTTCCTCGTGGTATTTGCATGTAATTATTTTCATGGAAGTAAATCACATACCATTATGACAAAAATTTACCTCAATTTTGTCCTTTTCCAGGAACTTACATTTCATCAGGATTGAGCTAATGCAGTGGGTTCACGGGCGGGTACAGTTTAGTAGCCTTTTAAAATTACATTGGCATTTTAAATTAGTTTGAAGTATGCTGTTCTGAATAAAGACCAAATATATCGAAGCTGGGCACCCTCGTGGAAAGTCAAGTGTTTTTGTTTTGTTCCATTTTATTATAAAGTCAATAGACAACCTGATTCGGCATCTCTGTCATTCAATGTAGTGTTAGTTTTCTTTTAATTGGTAGATTTACAGCTTCTAACACTCTAAACAGTATCCAATTCAAACTAAAATTTGAAAAGGAAGATTGAGTTCATGGGTATTCTAAAATAAAAACTATAAGATGCATACTATTGCAATATAAAAGTATTGCTTTTTCATTGTGTTCATAGGAAAACATTGCGGTTTCTCCTCTGATAGTTCAACAAAATCAGCTTAGTCGATGGTATAGTTCTGCAAACTTTATTTAAAAACTTAGAAGGGCTCCGGCTGAGTGGCGCATTGGTTAAGAGCTGGCTTGAGACGCCAGAGGGCCCTGGTTCAGATCCCACATATGAGGGCCAGTGACACTGCCCTCTACAGCTAAG